GGGAAAAGAGCCTCCTCGCGTTCCTCCCTTCTCCCTTGGCCGAAACATGGGTAAGTCACCCCGAGCCCGGCAGGTCGGTCACGTTTCTCCAGGGCCCCGTCAAGGTCCGCTGAAGCATCCCTCGAGCAGGTCCTCGCTTGCGCTAGAGGGACATCCGGCAGTCCTTTAACAAACCCGTGATAGGGGCGGCTGGGGAGGAATAGGACCGCGGCGTTGTGGCAAGTCGGGGCGTTCTCCCCCGGCGCCCCCCTCGAGCTCTCCCGTGCGTCTCTCTCGCTCGCGCTCTCCCTCTTTTTTTACCCTCAGTGGATCAGCCCCCTCCGGGTTGCTCGCCTCCCTCCTCCTCGCTCTTATGTCCGGCGAACGGGAGAAGGAAGCCGACTACTTGTAACTTCCTCATCCGCACATCCTTCTCTCTCGGACTCGGCGGGGGAGCCGGGAAAAGCAATGTGCCTTTTCTCACTTAAGCTTCGGCTCTCCCATGATGCCGCTTGGTTAGGATGTCCGTCGCGGGGACAGGCTGCAGGTAGTGACCTTAATCAACCGGGGATGGTTGAGGTGGCAGCTGCGAAGGTTCTTTGAAAGACGGGAAGAAGGACCTTTGAATGGGATGGATGTCCCTTGAGTTCAGGTCTCAGTCATGCCAGCAGCACTTAAAGGCAGAGAGCTTAACAATAAGGAACCCCAGTTCTCTAATTAATTACCATCAGCTTTTTCAAAAACTAGTTCCTAAGTTTCCAGTGAATCCCTCATGCTTGGTTTATCTAAGCTGGACATCAGTGAAGTAAATTCAGTTTGGCTTTATGTATAAGGCTTTTGTTTTCCTAAGCATGGTGGGCATTTGTTCTCACTGTGTGTGTTTCACTAAGTATGATAACCTACCGTGCAATCTTCCTTACAACGCTCTTGTATACATCATTAGATTTTCTTATCAAGGCAGGGGGACAGTTACTTCAGGCAGGCCATTCTGTTATGGATTAACTGCTCAGAAAACATGCATAGGACTGCATTGTCATTTAGTAAAACAGATAATTAAAACTTCACTAAGTGTCTTAAGGAAAAAGCTGCACCGGTCTGGGATACAACTTACTAACTCAGCTTTTCTAGGCCAGGATCACCCAAATGTCAATTGTGTTGAAGTTCCTTGTACTGTTTTACCAGTGAGCACACGATGCACCCCCTTGGGTTAAACTACTGTGAGGAGGCCTAGTCTGGATCAGTGCCTGGAAGGGAGTCCATCTGGTTATGGAGTGTAAAGTCACCTTGAGTTCCATTATGGAAGGAAAGTGAAATTCGAATATACTAAGGAAACAAATATATATGTTGGTCCCATGCCATTTGTCGTTTTGAAACTAATTAGCTGCCCCCTCGACTTGTGAAGATAAGTTGTTCTTTCAAGGAATGTTTTGTATTGTATATGTGAAATGGAGAGAATGATTAATACAATATCGTAATAATCTCTCACTTCAAGCAAATGATGCCCCAGAAATAATCTACTTTGAAATGCCTGGACTAGTATTTTTTTTGAAGAATGTGGCCTGTTCACTTCATTAGTTAGTCATGACTGTATCTTTTCCAAACACTAAGGTAGTGTATTCCAAAGCCAGTTCTTGCCTCTTTTTTGGAAGCTGTTGATAGCCAAGGGCTACTGAGGACAACCAAATCAACCAGTCTCAGTGGCTTTAACAGATGTAACAGAGGTGATTCTTGAATTTCATGCCAAGAGTTCTGGAACTTTTGGGGGCAACAACATTCACAGAAGGAAACCAGTTCCTTGCAGATTGTGAAAACGATGTTGGTTTTATGCATTGTCCCACCCTGCGGGATAAAATATAGCTTCTTTAGAGCTCCACAAACCATCTTGCTTCTGGGGCGGCCAGGGGACTATCAGTCTTTCCCCACTAATGTGTTAAACTGCTATCCACTCATCATTGAGTCAGCACATTTGCTGTCCCCATGGCCAGTCTGTCCTGCCTCTACTGCATCTGTACCAAGTCTCCGCTGAAGGATGTTGTATGCATGGGCCACTCATAATAGACAAGATGACTAGTTTTCTCCTTTGCCTTTTCTCTCATCCCTGAGAAAATATCCACCATTCAGAGTGCTGCAGCAAATATAGGATGGGTCAGAGTTTAGGAATTTGTCTGGCTTCTCTGCGCTGGTCTGCCTGCCCTTCCTCCCATACCCCATTTGTGCATCTCCATATACATGAGAGAAACACCAACACTAACCCCAGAGAGAATTGAGGCAAACCCAGCCATGACTTTGCAACTAGCTGTGTCCTGCAGTGGGAAGAACTAGTAGCTTGACAGCTGCGTCTCTTAGTTCAGCAGGAGGGCTAGGGAGTGAGAAGAAGTGGCAAATAAGAAGTTTAATTGAACTAGTGGAGATCTGTTCTCCTCTGTTTTATTGGAAGGCTTCAGAGAAGCTAGTGTCCACCAACTGAAGAAGGGAGAAAGTGATGTCATGAAAAGAACTCAAGAAACAAAGTGCTAAAGGGGATGGAAAAGGCTAGGAAAGAAACAGTGAAGATGGAGGCTGCCTAGTGACTAAAAGGGGAGGGGACAGGTCCTGTCTACCAACATTCCCAAAATACACTTCTGATAACTCCTACCACTAGTCATCAGATTTTCCCTTGAAGGTAGCAAAGTGTTACAGATTTTATACACCTTGAAACTGATTTGTGGGACTGTGCCAGCTTAAGAGGGAAAATATACTACAGTTATACAGATACAGCTAATAATGACTTAAGCCTGCCTCACTTACGAGCTGGGAATCAGATGAAAGCAACATCATGGGAAAAAGGCAGAAAGTTGTTAGGGCATGACTGTGCTGTACTAAGGTGCAAGTGGGTACAGGGCCTGATGCTGTGTCCACATTACATGCTTCCCCATTCATAACCATGTTTTCTCAAGTCTGTTTATTTCAATTATTTACATTTCTATACCATTCAACTCCAACTAGGTCCGAGTCTCTGGGTTTGCACAACACATTGGACAATAAGATAACTCTCATGGGCTAGAGAGGCACAACATACTAGCTAAAACATGGTTGGCAAATTTGTGGTTCAGGGTTTTTTTTGTTGCAACCTATCTAATCAAAACAGAACCCAGTTACAGTGCCAGATATTGTCAATTTATGGAATGGTTTTTCCCGAGTTCTAGATAGAATAGATTAAAAGATTTTTTAATGCTCCAGATTATATCCAAATCCTAAATGTTGTTAATAATTTCATAGAACATATTGTTTTAATACTTGCATTGTAATTTATTGCACTGTTACTGTTTTAGACTCAATTTTAAGGCTCCCTGGGGATTCTAATTTATACTTCAAGGTGGGATATGAAAGTATAGATGAGTCAGTCCCCAAGAATTGGAATATTCCTGGAATGCTCTAGAGGGTACCACATATTACTATAACTTATTACTATAACTTGTTTCATCCTGAAAGTCTACCTGCTCAAGGCACCAACATCTTGAATCCTTTGTGAAGGCTAAAAAACTGGCTCTAATAAAGTGGCAGCTGGGTCCCTTAGTGGATGTTTGGAGAAAACCACAAGAGTTATTTTAATTTCTTTGATCCACTCAGAAGTTTTGATTGGAACCGAATGAATATATTCACTGTACTTTCCTACATTTTGCAGAGCAGGAACAGAAAGATGGTTCTTTTTACTTTCAAGTAGAGTTTGGGATGAAAATTGCTCAAATAATAGAAATGGTGTTCCTGAAGCTTTATTTTCGAGGGAGCATAGGATTAAAAGTCCTGATGGCTGGCTGTTGGCTCTTATATGTCCATACTTTCAGGATTACCTCGTACTTGTTGCAGGATAATCTTGTCTTTAAGCTTCACTCTGTATATCAGTGCACACAGCTCTGTTTATTTAAAAAAAATAAAGCTCATTTGTAAGTATTTCACTTTTAGCATTCAGTTATACACCTTGTGCTATTGTTGTCACTCTTAATTTGTCGATCTAATTTTAGATATGCAGGTACTGCCTTTGATTGCAGTGAACCGTGTAGAAAGGTACAGATTTGGACTGGGTTGCAGTGCTGCAGCCAATTTCAAGCATTTCTATCACTATTGCTACAATACTTCTCTGGGTGCTGGTTGTAGAATTAGACTGCAAGCTTTTTAGGGAAAAGGCCTATTGCTTGTTTTAATCTTACCACTGCTGTGCACATTGTGGATAATTTATGATGTCAGTTCCAGTGTCTGATTACATCCTGAGAAGTTTCTCCATACTTACTCCATATAAGTAGCCCCTTTTCTCCCTCTTTCACTTTCATGTACCAGTGTCTAATAGAGAGTATTTCCTTTTTATCGATAGGTGATGCTGTTTTAGCTGTGATTTAGTTTGCCTGAGCTTTGTAGAGACTAGTAGTGCATATAAGCTATATGCTTTTTGCTTTGGCTTAGACTGGGCTCACATATTATGGTGAACCATAGTTTGCTTAATTATGATTTGTTGCATACGCCACAGTTGGCTGAGTTCAAATGTATTAAATAACAAATTATGGCTTACAAAGTACAGTGGCTTACCGTCACAATGTACTAAATCAAAACTCAACATGGACATTGACTCAAGTCACACAGCTTGCTTAGTCATAGTTTAGGTGTCTTTCCTTTGCCTGAAAGCTCTCCCTAACCATTGTCTATACTGCTATGATGAAAAAATGATCACCTGGAATAATATCAACCAGTTTGGCTATTCATAAGAAATTACCAGAAAAAATGTGAAAAGTCAAAACATCAGACAGATACTATAACCAGAGGAGACAACATACCATTGGCCAAAAAAAAGTGGGGGGGGGGACAGCATGGGAACAGGGGCCTAATGAATAGGATGAACTAATATTCTGCATCCAGAATATGGAATCTCGAGAATTGGGGAGCCAAGAAGCAGGTTGTTTTCAAAGAAACAAGAATTAGAGCAAAAGTTGGGTGGCAGAGATGGCAAAGGGAGAGAACGTGTGATACTAGTGATGCAGCAAAGGAATCTGGGCCTTGAATCAGGTAGTCCCTGTGTATTGACAAGAAGAATTGCTGTGTA